CGCTCCACCTCCAATCCACCTCCACCCACCTCCATCCCAGCCGCACACAGCGCTCCACCTCCAATCCACCTCCATTCCACCTCCATCCCAGCCGCACACAGCGCTCCACCTCCAATCCACCTCCACCCACCTCCATTCCACCTCCATCCCAGCTGCACACAGCGCTCCACCTTCAATCCACCTCCATTCCACCTCCATCCCAGCTGCACACAGCGCTCCACCTTCAATCCACCTCCACCTCCATTCCACCTCCATCCCAGCTGCACACAGCGCTCCACCTCCAATCCACCTCCACCTCCATCCACCTCCACCTGCAGCTCCACACATCGTGTATTTAAATCCTCTTCAAGTTTCCTATGTTCTCACAACACTGTAATTCACACACAATGGCCAACTTTATTAGGGGCACCTAGCTAGTACCAGGTAGAACCCACTTTGTCTCCAGAATTGCTTCATGGGTAGATAAGTTCTGTTTAGAGAAATGCCACTGATGAGATGTTTCTTGGCCATTGCATCATTCTTTGTGAACTCTAGACAGTGTAAGAGGTGAAAATCCCGGCTGGTGGCTCCAGTCAGAACATGCGGCTCCTGCAGTCACACCTCACTCTACAATCACGTATATTAGGCGCTGTAATGCGTCAAAGCCAGCAGGCTGTTTGCATTAACAGGCAGCTGTACTGGATGAAGTGACCACAGTATATGTTATCTTTGGCAACTGTACAAAGAAAAGGACGCCAAGAATAAAACTGGACATTACTGTGCAGTGTTTGTTAAAGACAAAAGGCCGTCATGAGAAAATATTAAGTAAAGAGAACGGGGTCCTCATATTTAAAATGCTACAGAGCTGAGATACATTCAAGCCGATGCCGTGCGTGAACATCAGGCAGCGAGCCAGCCAGCACCGTGAAAGACAAATGTCACCTGAAACAGCTGAATTATGTGGCTGCATCTAATCAAAGAGCAAACATTTTAATGCATCATCTGCAGCAGACGTTAAAAGGCTACTTATCACTGCTTATGATCAGGCAGTCAAGGCAGATGGATGGTTCCCTGAAACACATTCATGCTGTTAGCTGGAGACGCCATGGAAAACATCTGCCTACGGGCCAATCACCAAAGGGGGGGTGCAGCAGACAGGCAGGGAGGGGGGGGGATGGCTACCCTGTGCGGAGGCAGTGACATAAATCAGCAACATTTTGGGTAAGTGGATAGACAGAAACAGGACATCAATCATGTACTTCAGAGCCAAGAAGATGCATAACACCAGACACTGATCCAAGGGACCAATAGTCATACAACTAATATCGAGGTATAGCAGCACTTTGAAAGGTTATAAAACATTGGCAGTTATAGGGTCCTGAAGTGACACTTCATGGTAAATGCTATTATATCTATGAAATCAACAGCCTGAAAGGAGTTTCACTGAAATTTCCAGAAGTCGGGTTTTCAGATGAAGGTGCAGTTTACTTTTATAATTGAACAGCTAACATACGCTACACATTGTTTTATTCTTGAAAGACACATATACGTATAAGTATCCTGATGTGTTGTTTCTATCATTGCCTACATGATCTCCCATAAGCAGTAATGCAGGGCTGCAGTGAGCTGGACGCTTCTCCCTGGAAAAGCAGAACACCTTCAACGGGCCACCAGTCCATCCCAGGCCCGTGATCACACACGCAGGCACATGACAGCCACCTGAGAGGCCCCACATCACCCCAGTGCCGACCCCCCAGGGGCCCCACATCACCACAGTGCCGACCCCCCCAGAGGCCCCACATCACCACAGTGCCGACCCCCCCAGAGGCCCCACATCACCACAGTGCCGACCCCCCAGGGGCCCCACATCACCCCAGTGCCGACCCCCCAGGGGCCCCACATCACCAGAGTGCCGACCCCCCCAGGGGCCCCACACCACCACAGTGCCGACCCCCCCAGAGGCCCCACATCACCACAGTGCCGACCCCCCAGGGGCCCCACATCACCACAGTGCTGACCCCCCCAGGGGCCCCACACCACCACAGTGCCGACCCCCCCAGAGGCCCCACATCACCACAGTGCCGACCCCCCAGGGGCCCCACATCACCCCATATATATATGAAGAATATTCAATCAAAACATGCAAACCTGAAGTTCTGCTTTTCCAAGCAAGGCAGCCCGGTAAGGACACCATCTTCTCACAGTCCGGGGGAGTAACCACACAGGCCTTTGGCTTTTTGCCTGTATACCTTAATAGGTACCTCTTGACAGTAAACAGAGCATCATAAATATCCCTGACCATTCTAAAAAGTGGTTTTACTGTAAACACAGGGGAACAGACAGGCAGTTGGCACCAAGATCATTGACGTCTGTTAGGTTTCCTCCCTCCATTATGGTGTCATTTGCCTTATGATTTTCAACAGGAGATGAAGACAAAAATGTATTTATTAATCTCTGAACATGCACGACAATCTTCTCAAGTAACAAACTGAATTTCCTACCAAGGACCCTGATCAAACTGGCCAATCAGGACAGGCAAATTACTTCCAAGCTACTCAGAAAAATAAACTGCCAGTTACTGTCCTATATCAAGTTTACAAGCTTGAATACTTTAGAAATAAAAATATACCTTGTAAAATGTTTTTGCTTTTCAGTTTCTGACACTTGATTGGGCATTTGTGATTATTTTAATTTTCTGTCTGCCATTAAGTGTGTAAATCATTTTGTGCAAAGTTGATCAATCTTTATTCTGTTAGACTCTTTGCGGATAAGATTGGCCACCCCTGAGTTACACACTTGAATCATGCAGTTGTCAGCTAATTAAAAACTCTACCAGGCTCAGGAAAACTAGCGGTGGAAAGGAGAGAGCACGCGAACTCCGCTGGGCGGAGCCATTTCACCAGCATTACAATATATCCAGCGTGTTATTTTTGGCATTTCCATGGTTAAGTAATAGCCTACTTAACAGAAAATAGATAAAGTCTTAAGCGTAGGGCGGGTTCATAACGGGAAAACAAATCATTGCAAAGTTTAACTGCTGCGTAACATGCCTGGCAACCTTCATTACTGAACATCCAGCGTGAAATGCGGCGCATTTCCCAAGAGTGAGCAGCTTGCTTTTGGATAACCTGCATTGGTATTAAGCTACTTCACCGCATAGTGATTCTGAGTAATCTAAGGAGGGATTAGTCCCGGAGACGTTTTTGGACTTGTCGGGATGAATATAATGAATACAACGATTTTCAATGACACGCACGGGAAAATAGATGCCATGGCCGTTCCCGTTTTGATGTTCGGAGTCGGGGTGATGGGTAATGTCATCACAATAGCTGTGCTTTGCCGATCTAAACAAGAACGCCGAGAATCGGCTTTCTACACCCTGGTGTGCGGCTTGGCTGTTACCGATCTGTTAGGGACTTGTCTTGCCAGCCCCGTAACGATTGCAAACTACTTCGAACACCGCCTGGACGCCAACCACGCGCTGTGTGAATTCCACTCCTTCATTCTGCTCTTTTTTGGAGTGGCCGGACTGAGCATTATGTGCACGATGTCGGCTGAGCGTTATCTCTCAATTAACCACCCTTATACTTACCAGAGGTGGTACATTAACCACCACAGCGCGCGCCGTGGTCTGTTTGTAATTTACCTGCTAAACATTATATTTTGCAGCCTCCCGATGCTGGGCTTCAGTAAAATCATACCCCAGGAACCGGACACTTGGTGCTTCATCGACTGGAGGGCCCAGAATCATTTGCACGCCTTTTACTCTTACTTGTACGCCGCGGTGAACTCGCTGTTCATCTTATTGACCGTTGCTTGCAACGTAGCCGTGTGCGGGACGCTGGTCGTCATGCAGCGGAGGAAGACGCGACAGGTGTCGGCACGTGGAGGGAGCGACCAAAAGACGCTGCAGTCCTTGTCTGTGGAAATCGAAATGATGCTTCTGCTAATTGTGACTTCGGTGGTGGTTTTGGCTTGTTCGACCCCATTGGTGGTAAGAGACTATTATTCCTGCCACAAGGTCTTTTTCAACATTTATCACGGAATATTTTAAGACAAAATATGCCTCTTAAATCCTTAAAAGAGGCGCACTTTTCTTGCAGGTGTGTGTATTTGTTAACCAGATTCAATTGGCAGCCTGGAACAAGAATGTAGATCTGCTGGCTATTCGCATTGCCTCGGTGAACCCGATTCTTGACCCTTGGGTATATATCCTTCTGAGGCGGACGGTGTTCCACAAGGTCCTGGGCGCCTGGAAGCGCCTTTTCGGGGTGTGTAGGCGCGCCATCAGGCCGCAGGGGCCACCGCAGGTACCACCGTGCGTCATGGATTAAACCAGTCTCCAAAGTATCTCCTGCAGCCGTGAAACATCAGATCGTAAACCCTTTGAAGGTTCCCTGAACGCAGCCGCAACCGTTAATACTACCTTCATGGAAATGTAAAGCAATAGGCATACGCCATAGAAACTGTGTCCGTACCTGTGGAATGTGGGTATAGGCAAGGTCTGAGTTCAAATGGACGTCCGTCTATTAATGACGAAGCCGGCGGAACTTGTTGCACTGATTTAATAACTGTTAAAGTACAGATTTCACATAACCGAACTAAGGAATTCAGAACATTAAAAATCTTACCTGTTACAGCTTGTATTTCTTTGAAACATTTTTCAAACTATATAGAGTCATTGAATAAAGGCCATCTCGGACTATAAAATCGTTTGTTTATCAGAAAGCATAAAATTGACTGGCTACAGATTAGGGGAAGTGATCATTAGTCTAAGTTGATAAGTCCGTACATTGATGTGGTTTCAAATGAATGCAGTATTATTTGAATACACGAATAAGAACAAACCGGATCGGAACCGATTTAAATGTAAATTAAAAACAGTTCCTTCTAAAAACTGTGTGAAAGAAGTAATACGCATCCGTGCATATTTAGCGGGGCTAGAATAAGATTAATGCACGATATACTGTTGTTCTGTCCGTTGTAATGCTTTTGAAGCCCGCCATAATTTTGAAATTGATATACCCACTTGCAAATAAACATACGTTATAAGATAGATGTTTAAATAAATGGCAGTTCTTCCCATAAAGAACTACTGTATCTTGTTTTCCTAAATTTCCTTGAGTGGTCCCTCGTACCCGATGTTCTGCATTTTAAGTGCTGTTTAATTGTATTGGTCATCAATTTAAACATCTACACACAAATAGTTTAATCGGATTCATCGAAGACCTGAAGGCTTCCGAAATGACGTTTAAAATTATGACAAAGAATTTTTGAAAACAGGCGTGTGACATGTAATATATTATTACTCATCCTGTATACATGAATAAAGTTATACTAAAATACCGCACGTCCTAAAAAATGTAGGTATTGCGTCAATTTATCCAGTTATGGTTGCGAAATCAAAATACATAAACCTGTACGGATCTGAAACGCACAACAAAAATAACACTGCTGGATTCAATTATAATCTTCCTATCTTTGGAAACTAGTACTACTATATGGTACTATTTCTATATGAAGCTGTCAATATTAGACCATGTTAAGTATTTTAACTCATCGATCAACAAGACAAAAGTAACTTTTGCAGAAGACTTTAATTTCATTCAAGCATTTAGTTGTCTCTGAAAAGTAATTTGAAACATGTCAACACCAGGCTAAATTTACATTCAAATTCAATTGTCTAAAATGTTATAACCCATGAGTATCATGTACATCTAAAATGCTTTTAAACTGCAATTGAAAATTGATTAACAATAATGGGAAATCATTTTCCAGCATCACAAAAGTAGCTCTCTGCTCTTTGACCACAAGGCTATTAAATGACGGAGTCATTTGGTCTGCAGCAGGTGGAACGTGCTACGCTTCAAATGCAGGAGCAATCACTCCAAAAGGTGATAGCAGATTGTTCTGTGAAACCGTGGATATTTTAGAAATACAATTCGAAACTTGAACGGTATTTAAAAACTCATCGTTGCAGAGAGGGATTTTCCCAAGATACTGCTCTGGAATGGGCAAAGCAGTGTTTCCCAACCCAGTCCTCAGGGAATCCCGGACAGTCCACGTTTTTGCTCTCTCCCAGCCAATCAGGAACACCGAATGCCTGGGAAGAAAAAACGTGGACTGTCCGGGATTCCCCGAGGACTGGGTTGGGAAACACTGGGGTAAAGTACCCTCCAAACATCGCAGCTAGCAGGGACTAAATACTTCTACTACCTAAAAGGGATTTTAACTGGCACCAAAGCAGAAAGAACCTTCATCTTATCCCTGTCCTTAAAAAGAAGGCACAGTATTCACTGTCCTTGGAATATACGCAAATATAAGTCATGTGTAATTGTATAAATGAACATTCACATCAATACAGCAGATGTATGAACATGTTAGCTGTGTGTTACCAGCATTTCCCAGAATGCACCTCTGGTCTCCGAAGGTCACACTAATAGCCGACCCCTAAGATACCCTTACAGCTCACTGACAAGCTTGTAGCGGTTTGGTCGGCTGGCAGCCAGCGGCCACACGCCCTCACTGCGGCCTGGGAGAGACGGGCTGAAACAGGCAGCGGATAACAGCACAGAGAAGATCGAAGAGAAAATTGTTTGGAAAATGTTGGAAGCCGTGCGCTACTGCCTTTTCTTACTTACTGGTGCCATAGTGACATGCCAATAGTGAATTTACACAGTTAAACTACATTTATCATCTCAATCGCAGGGACTCCCAGTCTCTCAGTATGACAGGAGAAGTGCAAGCAGAGTATTGCACCAAAACACTGGCAGTTGAAAGTCAATATTTATCTATGAAGAACAAATTTACTGGCTTCCAGACTTCCAAAAAAAAAAGTGTGCGTGTACACACACACACACACACACACACACACACACACACACACTACACACACAAGCTGTGGGCATAAAAAAAATCAAAACAAAATAGACGATTCAAAACCGTGAGATATTTAAAGTGTGCAATATTGCACGTTGCAAAAAACTGAACTAATATTTATTTATAGAAGTGATAGTCCATTATATAAAACATGCCCCATTATAAAAAAATAAAAACACTGTAAGCCTTCAGATAGAAGTATACTTAATACACCCAAGTTGAACAACATTCCTTATTTCATTACAGGAAAACAAACGCCATTTGACTGTCAATTATTCTTCAAGCTACAAACTAACACCAAACAAATCATTATTTTTCCCACATATAACAAATCATGACAGAGACCTGTACTTCACATTAAAAGATATACTGAAAGGGGACACTGTATGAGACTTAGAAAAGGGGAACATTTTTAGCAGAGGGAACCAATTAACTACACGAGCCGGGCTGAATAAGGTTTCTGGTCCGATCGCTGTACGTCATGTGACTTGTAAAGGGGAATCGGTAATTCCCATGTCCGTAATGAGGTCACACTTACACACGTGTACACACACGCACGCTCTGATTTCTCATTCACCGTATCGGGTTGATCTGCACAAATGTTTGACTGAGCAAAACAGTTTAAATAAATAAATAAATAAACATATTGCTACAGCAGGTGTTTGTGAAACAATGTAACAAGCCGACGTGAGGATTTCATCAATCCTTTGGATATGATGTGGGAAGTTCTTATCATATAACTTACGAGTTCATCTCATATCAGCCAAATATTTACTGCCAGTGAGTCAAGCAGTTACATGCTGTTGTCCAAGTGCATAATTTTTCAATGCAATTTTCACCTGCAAGGACCTATGACTTGCATTTGAATTTTCTTTGCAAAAGAGCAGCAGATACCACACAGGCTGGGCCATTACTTCCAAACCCAAAACATTCTAACCGTAAAAACACCCTCTTCCCTGAATGATATGGTGTACAATGCTGCGGTATGGTTGTACTCATCTTCCTCAACTCTAAGATGATTCACTGCAGAATCACCGGTTTCTTGGAAATGGACTTTAATGACATCAGGAGGCACATCTGAGTACTTTGCAGTTTTAGACAAGAAGGTCGTCCCACAAAGCTTCTCCATGCCTCATTTCCTCTAGCACACCAGCATTTACCTTCCTTCGGAATCTTAGGAGGTTTGGACAGTGCTGGGGGGGGTGGGGGGTGGGGGGGGGGGGTCACACAGAAAGGGACATAGTAACCGCTTGGCAGCAGCCTAGACGTCGTACTGGTTGGATCCATAGCCCATCGTGTAGGCCTGCCGGCTGTACTGGAAGTGGTCGGTGAGGACGCTGCTGCGGGCATACTGTAGCTCTGTGGCCTTGGAGAAGGGCCCGGAGCCGTTGGGCTGCATGGCATCGGAGACGGTGCCCGCTTGCTCGAAGGAAACCATATCCTCCTTAGACACGGGGAGCAGCTTCTTCTTGGCCTCCTGGTTGGCATCATATTTGGCCTGTTGATGAGACACATGTAAGAACAGCAGGCCGCACATCACACTGCATGCAACACACATCACACTGCATGCAACACACATCACACTGCATGCAACACAGTGCAGATGCCCCTCGCTTTACGAGGGTTCGACTTCACTAAATTTAGACTTTTTAATGGTGCGACAGCGACGCACATTCAGCTTCGGATTGTGATGTTACCCAGCTAATGAATGACGGCCCCATCCACCATAAACTAAAATCTCTGCAGCGACTGGGAATGTGTGCTACCATCTTATACAGTATTTTACAATGCATTGTAGGGTTACTTTATCATATTTGACTTGCAATGTTTTCAACTTAAAATGGGTTCATCGGAACATAACCCCACCGTAAGTGGAGAAGCATCTCTACTTTGGAAGCTGCTATGAAAACAAAATCATTAAAATAAAACAAACTGCGGGGATTTTTATAAACATTGGAGAAACAAAAAATGGTTTCACTCAAATGATAGCAATTTAAAAGCCTATAATATAACAAACAGGTAAGCAAGTCTAGGGAAGTAAAGGTCCAATGAGTGAATGTGTGTATACTGAGCTGCCAGTCAGTCACCTTGTTATAGAGAAAGACACCCAAGATGGCCGTCAACATGCCCAGCATGTTGGTGAAGGTTACAGGGTTGCGCAGCATGAGAAGCGAGATGCTGATCACCATGATCCTCTTGGTAGCGTTTGCCACAGCGTAGCTCAGCGGGCTGACCAGGTTCAGCACACTGAAGGCGATCACATTCTGCGCAAAGTTACAGAATCCGCTGACCAGAAGCAGCAGGAAGGTTCCGGACCAGCTGAGTATCCCAGCCTGCATTTCAGGAGACGGAAACAGGTCGATTCTAATGAGGCACATTAGAGAGTTTATTACTGATCTGTCGATGGGTACAATGCAAAGAATATTTGAAGGCCAACAATTTCAGAAATAGTCACTATTTAACAAAGGCTGTAAAAAAAAATAAAAATCAAGGAAGTGAACTTTGTAAATGTCTCAGCAGTAAACGTACAAAGCCTAAGGGGGCAGCACTCTCTAATGGCCATAAATGGTACTTCTCAATAACCATTAAAACATGCACATGACTTTACTTATTTATCCATTGCTTATCAGACAGGCATTAAAAGCAGTACTGACATCGTTCAAGCTTCACCACTTTCTCACCAAAGATGCTCAGAGACTCACCAGATCTCCATCCACTAAGAAGGCAGACAGGTCAACCAGCACCCAAGTGGGCACCATGAACAGCACGGCGTTGAAGCCCAGGACGTTCAGGAGCTGCAGGTGGTGCACCCGAGTGTCTCGTAGTACCTAATGAGTCACATGGTTTTAACGTAAATCAAAAGAAATGCAACGTACACAAGCAGAGCCACCTGTCACGCACTGTGATGACTGGCAGCCCGGTCCAGTTCCCCTTCTGTTGACTAGTACTAAAAGGACGTCATAAAAAATGTATGATGGGTGATCCGGGTCTAACGTGAAGTCTAAGCTTCTCACAACACGGCAGAGTTTCGGTCGGTTCCCTAAAACACGTCGGAGTCCATCAGCTACACGTTCCTGCAGATGGCCCCCTTTCCAGCATCACTGCCATATCAGGCGCTGGGTAACTGAACAGAGAAATAGCAACCGCAACGTAATAAAGAAAGTTAACTTCAACAGATTTCTGCATCTACTTATTAAAATCAAGAAACTGTTTACAAAGCATCTTTCCACATCACTAGCACCAAGTTTTAATTGGCCGCACACAGTCTGTTCTCAGTAACCATTTGTCCAATTAGGGCTGTGATACCAGCAGTCAGTGATCTCAGGGAGTGTACGGCATGAGGCCAGGACTCTATTTCACGTCACGGCTAATCTGGAGCCTCCCATTTACCACAGACACACCATCACCCAAAAAGAGTGATTCCCAGATCCGGGGAAAACCATTAAAAAAAACAAACAATAAGCCTGAGGTTCCCTGACGGCCCAGAGTGGGTGAACTTACCTTTTTGGAGAAAATGTTCTGCAAAGAAAAGCAGAGGGTGGCAGCAAGCGCACTGATCAGGCCAGACAGGTCAAAGGAGAGCTCAGTGACGGTGGCCAGCAGCACCCCCCCGATGATGGGGATGAGCGCTATGTACACCTGGGGGGGGAAGGCAGAGGCGCTGACACGGGCGAAAAACCGCTAAACACGAGAGCGGCTCACATAAAACGAGCTAAAACACAGACTGATTACACTAAACGCAAACAGAGAGTTAAATAATGACACATTTAACGAGACATTTAAATAATTATGTGGCTTTTATATTACAGTTAGTAGCACATAAAAACACCCCATAAGGCACAAACACAAGGCTGTAATCATATCTTCCTCTATTGTCCCCCCCCTTTCCACATCTCTGGTGATGTGCAGAACACTGGATACAGGCACAGAATAGGAAGGACTTTTCCCTGCATGTATTAGAAGGGACACGAGAGCTACGGTTACATAGGCGACATGAATACAATGCAGGTAAGAGTTTGGCTTTAAGAACTAGCAGAGAGCAGATCACCAGGGCAGGATCTGAGAACAACTGCCCTGACTGGTTATTTTAAACCACATATAAGTATCAGTGTTGGTACAGACAATGGCCTCTGTGTTTCTACTCTCTAACACATTCTCCTTAATCAGGACAATATAATGCAAAAATATGCCTTGCTTATGCTAAATAGGACCCGCCGTCTCGGGTACGCCTGGCTAGGGCCGGGTAGCACCCGCCGTCTCGGGTACGCCTGGCTAGGGCCGGGTAGCACCCGCCGTCTCGGGCACGCCTGGCCAGGGCCGGGTAGCACCCGCCGTCTCGGGCACGCCTGGCCAGGGCCGGGTAGCACCCGCCGTCTCGGGTACGCCTAGCTAGGGCCGGGTAGCACCCGCCGTCTCGGGTACGCCTGGCTAGGGCCGGGTAGCACCCGCTGTCTCGGGTACGCCTGGCTAGGACCAAGAGAGGCCTTTCTACACACCACTATACTGAACAGCTGCACTTGTAGCCTTCCTGTTAACTTTAAGGAATCTGGCCATTCTCCTCTGACCAGATCAATAACAAGCCATTGACTTTTTTGATCATCACATCATTTGCCATAAACTAAAAACTCAGGAGTGTGGCTGTTAGAGATACTGGAACGATCACATGACACCAACAATCACACTACATTCAGAAGGGCCCTAGGTAGGTAAAAATAAGTAACACAGTGAGCCAGACAGACTGTTTGCATTAATTATTATTATTACTGATACTTTATTGATCGCCATGGGGAAATTCCCTTTATGCTCCCCCCCCAACTTGCTCTCCATAGGCAAAAGCAAGCTGGTGATGAAGGGCAGCCACCCACAGCAGCACCCCGGGGGGGAGGTTAAAGGCCTTGCTGAAGGAGCCGCAGTCGTGCTGAGGCCAGCCTCGAACCGGCGACCTTCCAATCACAGACACAGAGGCTTAGCCCACTGAGCCACACGCTGCCCAAACCCTTTTACCCAATAAACTGCCAATTGAGTGAATAACATGCCTTCCCAATAACAAAACAAAGGATTTTTTTATGAGCTTAGACAACAGCCCCTTTTATTTGATCACAACTGCTAATTTAAAAAATGAACACACTCAAACAGCGTTCATTATTACAAAGAAGTAATTAATCCACATGTGAATGCATGTACAAAACCTCCTTGAAAATATAACTACAATTTAATTGGTTTACATTAACTATTCTTAAGCACCAATGTGTGTAAAAAGATAGTCACTGTTTTACACGCTTATGATCAGATTCACATACCTTTGCTGTTTGTTTCTCCTTCATGATGATTCGTGATAACAGCACAACCCATATTGGCATTGTGGCTTTGACTGAAAGGAAACAACCACACACAAACAAAAGTATGTTAATGCAAGTAATGTGACAGTTGACTTCATCTATGTCAGGTGAAAGTCTTCGTTTTAAATTCTGGGATCTACCAAACACTCCACAAACACAAAACGACAGCTATCTAACTTTGAAGTTTTTGATTATAGGGTAAGTGCTGACAGGTCAGCAGAATTGTTTTTGCTTCCTTAATCCCATCTTCGAGCAGGTGCAATAATTTAAACCAATTTGATCAAGTCATAACTGACGTGGAAGGAAATGATCTCACACCCCTATAGACACGTCACCGCAAGAACACCTTTACAGTGAGCAGGAAAAGTCTGTACGATGTCTATCCACGGTACACCCACTTTTACTGATGCTTTTATACCCGATTTTGATCACGACAATATCATTTTGAGGTACGAGGTCGGGAAAGCATCCAGTTATGCACGTTGAGAGCGCACCGCAGGTACAAACAGGCACATGTATCTATGCTGCATATTCTCCGTATGTATCCATACACACTGACATCATACATGACACATACAGGTGCTTCGCGCATCTACTGTATCCCCACGAACTGGTTCAACAGCCCCGTTTGGGGTCTTCACACGCTACCTAATGTTTGTAAGCGCGAGCCGAGCCCGGTTCCGGACGCAGTACGGAGATAAACACGCTGCTCAAACCGGTCAGTCCAGCATGAGGTGGCACGAAAGGAATCACCTCTGGCTCCCCAAACGATCGGCAATGAAACAAAATGGGACTCTCTTTCAAATCGGGCCAAAGCAAATCCGGCCCAATCATTATCCCTTAGAGGGGTACGTGAACCAGCTGTTAGGTAATTCGAGTACAATGGTGACGAGCCTGTTAATCACAAAAAACAAAACAGCTTTAGATGATTTAAAGCGCGTCGAGCCCTTAGTTTTGTAATGCGCAGCTTTCAGGCAGAGATGGGTTGCGTCGTGTCGCGGAGACCGAGCGATCACGCCGGGGCGCCGGACCGGAGGAGCGCAGCGAGCCGTACCTGTGTGCGCGTAGGAGACGGGCACCTTCCATATGCTGAAGTGAGCCGACACGGACGCGAAGTACTTTCCGAAGGCTAAGGGCAAAATGTACCATCGGTAGCATTTGCTAGACAGTTCAGTCTTCGGGACCTCCCAAGCCCGCAAGAGCGGCGGCAGGAAGATGACGATGGACAAAATGTGGAAGAGCGACACGGTGACCGGGTACGGGAAGCCGGTCAGGATGATCTTGTTGATCACGTTGCCCCCGGAGCTGACTGTGTACCAGCAGGCGCAGAGCATCGCGATCCGCAGCCCCTCCTTAACTTGCTGTCGCTCCACCGCGGCCATCTTTCCGCTGCGGTAGCTGGGGCCGGGAGGACGTGGAGGCGGCGGCGCTGGCGAAGCCGCGGCCACATCCGTCACTTCCCCTCTTAAAGGCGCCGACATGGAGGCCAGTTCCGCGGTAGAGGACAGTCCAGCCGACCTGTCGCTAAGCTTTGTCGTCTACTTACCGGCCTTTATTTTCGGAAAGATGCATAGCGCCATTCACGTGACCGGCTAAACCCCATCTAAAAAAATATTAGACAAAGCTTGCTTTTAAGGTATATACATATTCATAATTCCGAGAGTTAAAAATAAAACCTATGAAATAGCGCACACAGGATGGGATGGCAGTCCAGCACAAGGCACATGTAAGCACATACACACTACGGCAATTACGGACACCAGCTAATCTAACTACGTCTTTGTAGAGGAATCAGGATGTCCAGGAAATCCGCTCACGACATAGGGCGACCTCACAGACTCCACCTGAGGCTTTCAGATCCCCAGCCCTTGGGGTGGGAGGCTTAAGTGCTACCTTCTGCGTCACCGTGCGCTCCTCTACGGTCTTCAGTGAAATAAAAGATTTGCGTTGCCACAGGACAGTAACTGACCTGTCATGGCTGGGGTGTCAGGAAGCACCGGTGCGGGTCACTTTGGACACCTTTTATACCCACCGTGATCTTCTGATACTGTCAGCATCTCTCATGGAATATTCATATTAAATAGGAAACGATGCTAAGTTATCTACAGATAGTGACCTTCCATTGTCCCAAAGGACCTTCATATTTCTAAGATTTGTTCCATCTTTGGTTTGAAAATAGATGCTGGAAATTAAATTAAAAACATCAATAAGCAAAATTGAACCACGAGCAGTATAATTTTGTTGACTGAAATTTAGAACAAAAAAAAAAATCAGCGTTCAAGAAAATGTGGGCCATATTTGCAAGATTCAGTATAAAAACACAAATTCATCGATCTTGATGAATTTTGGATACCACTGTGAGGTCACAGTAGAAACTAAATTGAGGTAGATGGGCTATGTGGTGTTTCATCCATGATAAATTCAAATATAATTTCTACAATTGACCTCCTCCTCTGTCTTCATATGCTCTCTGTAAAGGACACATCTTCCACAACGGTTACCAGACACACAAGCTCATTAGTCTGAGTATTACATGCCCTTTAACAGCTGGTTAAATATCTTGAACGTTAACAAATATTAGGTGGTAAACTTTTAGTTCTAATTATCTGTTTAGGTGGGTTAAATGAGTTTGAGTTGGAAGAGATTCTGTAATGCATTAGAATGATATGATTTGACAACTTTTCTCTTTCAAAATTCTCCATGGAAATCTGAATAACTGGATATGCTCTCAAACCAACAAAATATGGCACAAAGTAATATTAGACACATGTTGAGCTCTTAACTGTTTGTACTACCTAAATGAAAAATGGCTTCCCTGTGACAGTACAGACAAGCTCACTGACGTTTGTATTTCATTTGTTTAAACTGGCAGGTAAAACCTTCAAAACTTGTTCTGTGATTATATGAAAGCATAAGATATAACTGTTACAAACCAGTGTTTCAATATATCATATTACATGGCATAAATTCACCGTTAATGCAGTAGAGTGCATAGCTTCGGTCTAGATCATCACTAATGTAATTAACAGCTAATGTGTGCTTTTCAATTTCATTACAGGTTTACCCATACAGAGTCACGCATATGACCTTAGAGATCACCACTATGAATGTTACCAGGTAACCAAAGTGTAAACAAGCCCTTTTTCCATAAGCATAGCCTTACTGGGCACCCTAACCCTACCCTTTCATTTCCATCAGGCAGGATTGACATATCATGTCTCACATTATAAACCTGGTTTTATACCTGTACCAAAATGCATACAGACATGGCCAGGATTTCTGTATTTTTTATTATTCACACATTTATACTGCTCTGTCCATCTAAAAGGACCAAATAGGAAAATTGCTCACTTCTGCATCCAAGTAACACAGAATATTTATTTCTGTACATTCACTAAGGCTCTTTTTTGCACAAAAAACTGGGTTATGACAAATTTCAATAAGGCAGAATATCTAAAGGAATGGTAACAAGTCAGGTTTCCAGCATACAAACATTTATTTTTTTCCTCACAGTACAAAGCTGCGGGGGCAGGGCAGGGGGGGGGGGGGGATTGCGGCCTGCACTCGCTCATCGATTCAGTTACTGGGAGGAGCAGCTACCAGCTAGATAAAAAAAATGAGAAAGGGTGACAAAATTAAGATTTTCTTTAATTCAACACATTTCCAAAAATATATTCTCTCATATTCTGTCCCAGTATATATAGAGAAACTGGTGTGCAGATGCCTGCTGTTACAAGGGGCGACGTGGGGGGGGGGTGGGTGGAGAGACCAATGGAATGACGATGGACGCCACATCAGCCAACCCGTTTACTGCAAGGGAACGTGCAAAACACGGATACACCGTCTCTGAATTGCAGAACAGTTCAAACAGAATGTGTGATGCAAACAGAACAGCTTAAATTTTTGCACGTTTTTTTAATAAATTTCCAGAAAAAAATCAAATAAATAAATGCATACATGTTAATGAAACTTTATTCATTCCATCCTCCACATAAGCCATACTGTTCCTGCCACACACACACATGCGCGTAGGCACACACACATACACGCACACACGCACGCACGCACACACACACACACACGCAGGCACCACAGAACTCTGGTATTGCCAAAGCCCAGCATACAGAGTGCCGATGCTCCGACGCTCCGGAACCACACCTCACCACAAGCTCGCTGATGGAGACCCACCCAACCTTGTTCGCAATACTATGTTGGTAGCAGCAAACTACAAACAAGGCGCTCTTTCCCTACAATGTCGCCTATGGGAAACAAAATAAAATAACTGAACAAATCAGTGCTTTTTGCCTCCTAACAGTTTATTCCCTCATGTTAAACTTTCTCTCTGGTGGAGGAGGTCAGCAGGTTCGCTCTCCCCGTCATTCACAGTGGACATAACATTTTCTCCTTTTCAATCAAAAAAAAAGAAAAAACAAGGAACTTAGTCTAGACAGACGTATGGCAGGATGTCCAGCCGACTGCCGTCCCCGTGAGGGTCTAACGATATGCACTGTGTCCAGTCGTACCAGTGGTCCTTGGTGTCATAGCAGCCGTTGACCCCCGGCCAGCACCCCCTGTGTATTCTGGAGAGGTCCGCTAGCGTCACCTCTCGGGTGACACCCGGCAAGTCCGCCTCTGCGCTGACTGGTACCAGCACGTGCGTTTTCCTGGCCTCCTTAATGTGATGCTCCTCGCGCTTTAAATACTCCGTCATGAAGAAGTGCGCCCCGGAAGAAGGGGCACCAGATGATATGAGCACGTTGCTCTGGAGGTTAAGGTACGACTGGATGATCTCGTTTCTGGACAGCTCCTTCCAGTTTGTCTGCTGGAAGGGGCTGGGGAGAGGGGGCGCCGGCTCCGATTTGAGCGGCCCGGTCCGATGGGGGCCAGCCAGGGGTGAGCCCGGAGGCTCCTCCCCCTGGCCAGCCTCCTTGGGCGTCAGGGGTTTGATCTGTCTCGTCAGAGGATCGAAAGTCAGCCTGCGGTCTTTTAACCGCACAGGCTTGGTGCTGTCTTCTGCGGGCTGCGCACTCAGACTTACCGTGTAGTCCCTGGATCTATACTTCTTGCGCTTCTTTCCCTCTGAGCCGGAGGGCGTGCCGTACCCATCCACCTTTAACACCTCAGGGGCAAATCTCTGCTCATGTGGTGCTGCCTCTGTGCCCCGGGCAGCATCCGGCGCCGATTCCACCATCTGCTGGTCCACGTCTGCAGGTCCGTTGCAGGGCAGTGAGGACTTGAGTTGTGGGGACTGAGGCTTCTCAGCCTGAGAAAGGTGGGCCAAAGGCATCAGAGGCTGTGGGGAGGGTGACGGCGAGGGGGAGGGGGAGGCCACGGGGGAGGAGCAGTCCAAGAAGCTAGAGCCCTGAGGCGGACTGGACAGACTCGCCCTCTGGGCATACGTCACTGGCCGCTTGCCCGCGCTCTCCTGCTTCACACTCCGGGGGCTGTAATTGGGTCGTCGGGGGCTTCGGGGGTGATAGTGGCCCGCTCTCGCACTCCCTGTTACTTCATCCATCTTTATGTGCTGCTGCATGACGGATGTCTTGAGCAGAGAGGAAGTGCTGGGCATTTTGACGAAGCCCGGGGTGCTGGGGTGTGGCTTCACGGCATTGACGGGGATCTTGTTCTGCCTGTCGCCATCAGCGTGCTCTGCTGCACCCCAATCCAGCGACAGGGGCAGGCCGCCATCCAGGACGTTGCAGGAAGCCTCCGGGCTGCCGGAAATGCCGTTGGCGGGGGGCGGCGTGGAGTTCTGCGCTCGCTCGAACGCCGACGACTTGGACAGTTTTGTCGATGCGTAAAAGGCCTCCCGCTGCTCCGCCTTGCGCTTGCGGTTACTCGCTTTCTCCGTCTTGGGAGAGAGCGAGTTGTAAAGGTCGTTGCGGCTCTTGAGCTCCGAGACGGGCTTGCCCGTTACAGGGACGCTCGAGGGGGACATGTCTGCCTGGCAGGGGTGGGTGGCACCGTTGGCGGAGCCCGACGGCCCCTTTGCCGGTGCCTCCGTCTGGCCCGGTTCGATCAGCTTCTGCCAGCTGCGCAGCAGCTTCTTGGCACGCTTGGCGAGATCTTCATCCTTCGTCTTTTTCCTCACGTCATTGATGAGCTTCCCCAAACGGGTCTCCTAAATTGGGGAAACACATTAGACACATCTCATGCCTGTACATAGTATTGTGCAACAAAGGAGGTAGGTAACTCACCTCAAGTGCTTCTTTGGTAATAGGATATCTCTCCAAATGAGAAATCACTTCCAATACAGTCACCATGTTGTGGATCTGCTGAGAGGCACACAAAGACAATGTAGTAATAAATAATAAACAGGTCAATCCAGCCTGTGTTGATCCATCATGTCTCAAATTATAAACCTGGTTTTATACCTGTACCAAAATGCATGCAGACATGGCCAGGATTTCTGTATTTTTTATTATTCACACATTTATACTGTCCATCTAACAGCACCAAATAGGAAAGTTGATCACTTCTGCATCCAAATATTTATTTGGATTATCCAGAAATACTAGCCTTCATAACCAAGGTCAGAACTAAGTTTACTATTCAGACTTTATCATATGCATGATACAGTGCATCAATTCATAAATCTTTTATACATCAAATGTAACAGATTGTGTCACGACCTTTAACCCCAATTACTAAAGGGACTGGCTCAGCCTGCTAAATAAAGGTTTCCAATGTAACACAAATGTAACTTCACCATTATAATATACAGTTACAATAATACAAAGTGTAGAAAGTCAAGATATCATTGAAAAGTAAAAACTGGTATTTTTCAAGTTCCTAGCTTTGTATGAACATCACAACACAGTTCTCTGTGTCTGTGGAAAATGGCCAGCTAAATATTTTAGTTCTTTTTAAAGCTAAAACTCTACAAAACTGCACAGATGCAAGAAGGAGAAAAAAGATGTTTCAGATGTCACAATGAACTTGATTATCAAGCACATTCATTCACTGTTTTGTTTAACCCGATGATTAAACGTGAAAATAAACTAAAGATGCTCATGACTTAAAAGCATGTCACAAGATTTATATTTCTTCAATTAACATGCTTGGTTTTGGCTAATTTGTGAAAAAAGCACCAATCAGACACTACATGTGGTGAGACTAACCAATCTCCCTGATGGGTTACTGATTAAATTCTGAAACAAAGAAGCAGAAGAAAACTACCCTTCTGCTATATGACCAAGCAAATTGCTTCAGCTGAACTACATAAGTTTCTGACCAAATGAGCAGCTCAGTGTAAAACAAAAACAATAATGGAAGCCGGTAGCTGGTCTCCAAAAACTCCAGCTAGATGCATCATTTCAAACCAGACTTGAGACCAAGTAACTATCCAAAGTGAAATTCTTCAGATTGTTCCCCTTGAGAACATCCCTAAGATGGTTCTACAGTGTTACCAACTGGCCACCAGCACCTGCACTCCCAGCCAGTATTTGTACGCAGTCCAGTTCCAGAAACAACACAAGTTTGCATAAACTTTCAAATGTGCAGCTGTATGACTTTCACACCAAATGGAGTTTCTCTGTTTCTAATGAATGACCCTAAAAATAATCTACAAATGTTAAGTACCTGGAACAGACGTTAATTTCTATATATATATGCACCAGCATGTACCAGCATTTCATTTCCTGGTCACAATACAAGAGAACCACCATGCTAACGTGACATGCATGTTCTGTGCTGTGCTGTTCCCCCATACAATGGAAGAGTTTTAAAATCCAGAATATCACTTTAACTGAAATATACTTTGCACCAAAATCTTGTTTTATTTTCGTGTAAGTACAAACACAGCCAACTGATTTACTGATTTCATAGTAACCAGCCTGTATCAGTTTATTTTTAGGTCATATTCAGTCCTATTATTGTTTCTACTGGGGTCCATTAGTTTTCACTGCTTTTCTGTCTTTGTCAGACAACCTGTAATTGCGTTGCTATTTCGCAGGTACGGATTGGTCATCAACTAGAAGAGATTCACTCAATGGATGTTGTATGTGGTATAGAAGGCCACGTACAGAAGCGATAAACGGGGAAGGTCACATCGGGGAACAGCACAGCTGCTTATTATAAAGTTTTACAACGCCTGAGGGCATACGTGCCCGTCGCTACATCAAACACGTGTGACCATCATATACAGCAGCACACATGCTTATCAACTGCAAAGCAGCACATATTTGATAAACTTATGACAAGCAGAAGTAAAAACTACAGACGGTTGCTGTGTAAACTGGAGCTGTGATCAAGAGGTTTACGATTACCTAAAGTACTGCATACAGATGTACTCAGTATGTCAAAATGTACAGCTCTGCAGAAATGACGACATTTAAAGGTCCAACGGAGAAGAATATTAAGTGCTTTTAAAGACTACTAACAATAAGCTTGTCAATAACATTTTCCCTTCCTAATAGGGAGAACTTTAAGGCCTGGTATTTCAACCAAGAGTTGATAGCCTGCCTTAAGTTTTACATCTTAACTTGAAACATGAAACAAACTTGCTAAAAATAAACAACACACCAGACCAGCGCATAATAAAGAAATTATAGAATAGAAATGTTACACATAGTTAAAGCAAAAATGATACAAAGAAAAAAAAACTGACAGCAAGTAAACAGATTTTGTAGAAAGATAATGCATAGGAGTTGAATGGGGTATTGAACGGTTTGATACATGCTGAAGACGGGATGCCGGGCACTCAATGGTTAAGGAACTGAATTATCTACCTGTCAGAATCCAAAAGTTATTAAGCAAAGCAAAAGGAAGACATTGTCCATTTTACACATGGGAAGAAAAGATCCCGCCGCCAAGGAGAAGGAATTTCTCCACTTCAGATGGGGGGGGGGGTGGACTGATGAATAATGTCGAATTTAGCTTAGAACTAAAACGCGGCTCCATCGCGCCGTCCCCCCTCATTCGAGGCGGCAGCGCTAACGCGATTAGCTGCATTAATGCAGGCCGGAGGCACCAGGTCGTTAATTTTGCAGCGAAAACCTCCATGGCAAAGCGGGGAGCTTCCCGAGAAATGAAAGCTAACAACAACAAAAAAAAACTGGTGAAAACGAAACCCGACACTGGACACGACCGACTCGACAAGGCCGGCAAAGTAAAAGCCCCAGATAAACCATCATTAACATGGCAGGCAGCTGGCGAAGTCTCCGTTCAGACAGGAAAGTTGCCGACACTTTATAGTTTAAAGTTTAACACCAATAAAGAACCAAGCAATTGAGGTGTAAACGGGCAGCTCAGTGTAACGAAATGATGCGGTACTTAGGAGGGCAGAGAAGCGATGAAGCCCAGCAGGTTCCCGACCCGGCCGGCTTGCGGTGCGACTACAGCTAACGAACTCCACATCCACATGGGCATTCTGACCGCCAGACAACTACGTAGATTTTTAAATGTACACACCTGTTTTCTTAAATAACTACTGGACATATTCTTTCCAACTAGGGCTTTAATGGACTCCTCATACTACAAAAACAGGCAAATTTTCGAAACAGTTCGTTTCATTCAGCTATGACTCCGAAGAAGAGGCCTGCGCAGCTTTGACGAAGCCCCGGGCTCGCGTATATGCCACAAGCCACTCTAAGCGAAACAATAACGGTTGACGAGTTAAGGATCTGGCGCCACGAAGTTTCTTGTCTGACTACGACGCACGGCACTGAAATATTGGTGCAGTTACCTCTAAAAGTCCCACTGTCAGTTCACGTTTTCGGTAATGTTTTAGGTACCAAATGTAACATTTTACTGCGAATCCAACAGCGCTAATTTTCAACTTGTAGCTGCAAACGGCTAACCAGTCACCAAGCACCGGGGCTGTCTAACCCGAAACAAAAGCCGTCCAGTAAAACAGCGACTTGAAGTCAAATTCGTTTAAGCAGTCGCTTCGAAGCGACTTGTCCAGCTCCAGAGTTGCACGATGCCTCCCCGCTGAGCCAAAGCTAATCGGCTAGCCGGCTAAATAGCAGCTAAGCTTCTGTCACAGACCCAGCACGGCAGCCAGCCGCCCGGCTAACTAACTTCACGCTGCAGCCTCGAAGGGTGTGGTGTTACTCCGACCCGCTGTTTTAAGTGCCAGGCTGCTTGGTATAGCAGATTTCCGACACACGGTTTTCTGGACATTGGTACTTTGGAGCTTATTGGGGGAGAGCGCCGCGGCCACGGCCGTGAGGTACGGCGGCTTAGCTGGCCGGCGCCGCTATCAGTGACTCTAGGCAGCTAACTGTTTGGATACCCCTAGAACTCAGCGGCTACACAGGGGAGGCTAGTTAATAAGTTCCGGCAACGCGTTTAAAAAGTGACACACTTTTGGGTCTAGGGCAGCGAGGCGCCTATCTGAACACAGACATGTCAGAGCGCATATCTGGATGGGGCTTCCCGTGGCTTTTGGCGTACCACCGCTCTAATCGCTAATTATATAACCGCTTTACGTCCTGGCTGGACACGTGAAAATCCGAAGCTGATCTCGCAACACCACAGCCATGTACTCACATTGCTTTGGGCATCGATGGCCTGCAGCAGCCGGTCTCTTATCTGCTGCGGGGTTGCCGCGGCCGCTGTCATTGCCTGGCTGGTGCGGATCGGCAGCCGGGGGGAGAGGAATCCTCCGAAGAGACGGGTGGGCTCGCACGCACTTACAGGCCTTTCGGAAGATGTGATAGGAGGTGAAGCCCCATGTTTGCCGTAGTGCTTGCTGGTGGTTTTGGACGTGTTTATTGTATATCCCGGGAGACGAGACTGCAATAGCCGTCGTGCTCAGCTGCCCGTCCGGCGCTCACCAGCTTCCTCGGCTCCGCCAAGCCTACTACGTCACATAGAACCGCTAACCAGGTGCATTTTGGGAAACAACACGCAACTAGAAAGCGTCACAGAGCACGTTTTGCGTATGTCGGAACGTTACGGACGTAGCGGGAGGTGTACTGACCTCACTTCATGTTCGAAATATTTTACTGTATTAAACATTGCTCACAATGTTTCCTTAATTCAAAAAGCCATATTCAAATAAGCAATATGCATGGTTCTTGTGACTTCTTATAGTAATATGCATCCACCCATCTTCCATACCATGTATGCAGATTAGGGTTGCAGTGATTCTGAGGTCTGTCCAGAGCATTAGGCAGGCGATCACCCTCAGCTGCATTCTAGCTTAACCCAGGGCTGGGACACAAACAAGCACACAAATGCAACCACACTCACTCCTGGAAAGTCTGCCATTTTGCCTCATCACATGAATCCAGGAAACCCTCAACAAACAGGGAGAACATGCAGATCCAAAACATACAACCAAGGGTGGGAATTACACTTGCAAAGCAGGAATGGTGATGCTACAATGCTACCCAATGATCTTTTCCAATTCTTAGATATACAGGCAAAATTTAAACGATCATCTATTTATTTTATGGTATGGTAAGTCTAAGGCAAGCAGCGGGTGGACACGTATCTTCAATACAAGTGGGATTTGTCATCCAGCATTAAATTGCTGATTAGATTACTAAAGAAACACTTCACCAAAAGAAACACTCGTATAAGACTAAACTGAGTAGTAATGGTTCCAAAGCCACACTTGTGGACAGCCTGAACTTGAAGTTTCTTGACAGAATAACCCAAAACAGATACTATACAAGAGTAATCCTCAGAATAGAGGATTTATTTCTCTCATCTTTTACAGTTCATGTTACAATGTTACACCTCTGAAAATGAACTTATCTGCTCATAAAAAAATAATTACATATAAGTAAATCTGTCATGTTCAGTGCAGTACCTGCCACATAATCATTATCTTGGCTTTTAAATAGCTCTTGAAACATTTAATTTAAATAAGTGCTCTGCTCATGGCGTACAAGCTTTCCTGCATGTGTTGAAGAGTTTAACTGCTTGTGCAAACTGCTGTTTCTGCGTTTAACATAAGAACATGGTGACACAGTGGGTAGCAGTTTCTCACACCACCAGGCTTGGTTATTTGAATCCTTCACTGTACGGACGTTACACCATCTGCCTACGTTTTTGTGGGATTCTTCCTGTAGTCTAAAAACTTGCATTTATGCTAACTGGTGTAGGAAATTGTTCATATGTGCATGTCCCCTGAAATGGATGGGCTACCTGTCCAGGGACACCGTTACTGTCCTTATCTTGCCATATACTGCCTGGGACAGGCTCCAGACCCCTCTGCTACCCAGTGCAGCATAAGCAGCTGTATAATCACGTAATTCACTGTTCTATATGCAATACTGATGCACTGATACAATCAATCTCTACACACACTGTAGCGTTTTTACAACCCATCAACTTGTGATTGATCGTATATTTCTCATAACATAAAATTTCTGTTTCAACTTTTGATATGTTGTCTTTGTTCTATTTCAATTAAACATGGGTTTATATAATTTGCAAATCATTGCATTTTGGTTTTATTTTCATTTTACACAATGTCCCAACTTTTTTGGAAATTGGGTTGTATTTAAACTTTAAAAACTGGCAATGTACAGTACTGTGGAAAAAGTCTAAGGCAGTCAAAGAAAATGATGTATAAATGATCATGTTAGTGTAAAATTATATTTGTCAAAGTGTGTTAGCACAGCCATTTTAACACCTCTTCTAAAGTCATCCCTGTGCATGCAGCAACCATTCAATACACCCATATATTTTTGACTCAACCACTAGCACACCTCATATGGCTAATCAATACCTCGCTGACATTTTAAACTAATTAAATTAACTTATTAAGCGAGCTGGTGGTGAAATAACAAATACATGGAATAACCAAATTGACAATGAGGAGAGGATTGGGAATTGAAGGGTTCATCTAGCCATCCAACAGGATCTCAGTAACTTTTTGGAGAACAGATGAAATTTGTTAGTGTTTATTGGGTCACTCTTAACTTGCATACATTATAATGTTAAATTGTTTTTTCCTGAGCAAATACACCCTTACTAGCCAGATAAATAGCTTTAAACATTTCATTTGACTGCCTTAGACCTTTGCACAGTGCTGTAATAACACATGATGACAAAAGTAATTCATAGAAAACAGTGTGGGAAAGGTATTACCTATAATAAAGGAAAAAAGAGAGAATACATTATCAACTTACAAATCTTAACTGCTATATTGACAAATGTTCATCATGTTCATATCATCGTACAGAACATGTAAAAAGTCAGAATTTAGAGGCCTTGCATGCTACTGAAATTTTTCGGGCTCTTCACTTTCTTTTCAGCTGCGAAGACCTCGAAGCCCTTACATCGATAGAGATTATTTTGAAGTTGCCCAACAATTTGCATTTGGTCTATTAGGCTTTGCATTCTTCATTTCTAAATGAGCACAGACAAGTTGATGTTTGGTAGTGTTATTATGGTCGACCAAACTAAAGAGTGTGAGAATGAAATATGCCCATACCAATAACCAGAGAAGTTGCCCACAACACCCACAGATTACAAAAATTCCATTAAAGTGTCTTCATTTGATGCATAACATACACATCCCTCTCCAAGTGGTTTGTTCCTAGGCTCCAAATAACCTGTGAAAACACAAAAAATAGGTGGGGATGATTTAAGATTGTTCTGGAAATTGTTTTCAGTTCACTTATTTTTAAAATAATGATGAGAGTAATATTAAAACATAACATATATAATTTACAAATAAATTTTAAAATACTTACAAAATCATGCAAAACATCATAAAGATGTTCCATAAGGCAATAAATATCCGAAAGTACCGGAGGCTCAGAAGAAACTCTCTGATATTTTCTCCTAAAAAACACAAAAGTCCATTTTACCGCAATTCCACCATTTATAAAAACAATTTATGTATAAGGGCTTTATAATTTAAATACCTGAAGTTGGTGCATGAGATTCATCTCCAAATCCTTGTGAGTCCTTTTTTTTCCTGTCCATGAGAATAATTATTTTATTCACCAGTGTGCAAGTACAAGTACATAGGAATTCTTTAGCTTTCGAATACCCCATCTTTCCCTCATATGAAGCACACGCACACATACACAGATTGTGAAACAGAGATTAGAGCGGAGGGCCAGTCATTTTCCCCTAAGGCCCTGGATCATTTTGGGGGGTTAAGGACCTTGGCTCATCGGGCCAACAGTGATATGATTACGCTGCCGTCCTCGGGATTCGAACCGAAGAACTTTTGGGCGCAGACATACAGTAGACGCCTCTATTTGCGACGGCTGGAGGCCTTCATAGCTTGAGTCGTTAACTAACATCAACATATTATAGGAGGCGGTCTCCTACGTATGACCAATACATTAAAATACACAAATGTTTATTGCTACAATACTTACAGTTTGAAGTTTAGCACAGCTCCCGCATTGACAAGTAAGGTCCTAAAATAAATGCGAAACAGTACAAATTCCATAAAACAATCCTCAAATGTAAATGAAACCATTACGTTTTCATAAACTGAACAATTTAGCAGGAAAATAAATATAGCTGACGACTAACTTGGGTGTGCAGCACAAGCATCTATATTTTAAACAAGTTATATTTCTATTTGTCATTTCACAGAGGTAATGAGGTACGCCCTAAAGTTAAAAACAACATATCTGAAATACTAATAAATCTTAAATTACCCGAATATCAGTATATCCCCGATCATTTTGTCCACCTCGCAGCACCACGTAAACAAACCCGACACAGGAAACAGGTCGAGGCTGCGCCAATAGCGTCACAGCTTACTGTTCCGTACCCAATGAAAATCCCTGATGATTGGTCAATCAAACATGAAGCGAAAACCCAAACTTCCGGCTATTCAAGCGGAAGAGTTTTTTATAAGCAATATCCAGTGACAGTCTGCTTGTGTCTGATAAAAATCACTTGAACAATTAGGGCTTTGTTCACTAGGAGGAGAAGCTGATGCGTTGTAATGTGTATGAGTAAGATCTGTTAATAAATCCCAATGTCCCAGTATGTATTGTTCGTGGATCAACAGGGGATTAGTACATATGGGCTATTTGGTTTAGGCGTTATTGTAACGTGCGTCTTATGGAACTTCAGTTGGACATTGCAGATCGGCTACTTTTTAATGTTAAAGTCCCTTGCCGTGTACTTCGTCTAGTTTTTGATCTTCCAAGAGTTTTAAAACGCTGTTTAAAACAGACTTTCAAAATAACCGTTTCATCGATGTTTCTAAGTTTCACACATTTTTAAAACTCGTTGAAAATGTACGTTTTCGTCGTATGGTTTGTTTTTTAAGGTTGACATTCGGGAACACTGATATAGCACAGATCTAACTGCACATTCTTGTGACTTTTATTTAGATTCGAGTCCACATCACTCCTCTCTGGTAATATAAATATAGTTATCATGTGACGTATTACCAGATTAGTGGTGTTAATAGTTATACTATTATCGTAAAAGATGTATTTTGCAAATTTCAGTACATTGTTAATGGGTTGGTTACTCACTGCATGTTCTGTTTATGTCCTTCTGAGTCATGCGTTTTCCTCCCAATATCCATAAAAAGGTTAGATAGTGTATCTAAATTGCTCATTGTGTGTGTGCCCTGCAATTGACTGGCATCCTGTCCAGGGTGTCCCCTGTTTCATGACCTGCGCTCACTGTGATTCTGTCTTAGATACTGGACTGTTTAAGTTCGATGATGCTTAAATTTTAGTTGAATTATCATGTATGACCAAAAAAAAACTAGCTTAATACACTGATTACTTTATGGGTTTTGAATTGGTTGAAAGTGATTAAAACGACCAAAAAATGTTCCTTTGCATTTAACCCATATGTGACACAGCAGGGCACAGTTATTTCAGCACGCGGGGAGCAGTGCCTTACTTAAGGTACCTCAGTGGTATTTTGATGGTCGGGGATTTGAACCAGCAATCTATCAGCTAGAAGTGTGCTTCCCTATCCATTAGACCACCACTAGGTAGCAGATATGTATAAAAATAACTAATGTTAATTATCCAAACTTACCATTTGAATGACACCAAGAGCTTTTCAAAAAAAGTGGGAATTTTCTTTGTATTGAGTTGACTACACCATCATTAATTGTTCCTAAAATAAATTCCACTCCTGGGAATGTCTTTGAAAAAATATTTCAGGAAGTATGTAATAAGACTTTACAAAAAAGACTGTATTTAACTAACGCTATTTTAGTAAGCTATATCTAATGTCACCTCTCGGGTCTAAATAATTTTAGAGATATGCTTTGTAATAGATGGAATTTTAGAACGTGCGTATTTTTGAAGGTAAGCATCTCTGCCCCCTGGTGGTGATCCTTCCGAACTGGCAATGGTACCATAGAAACTGCTGAACTGCGATGAATAAGTTTAACATTTCAAAACGATCTGCTTTATTGATGTCCCCAGTCTTCATTTCAACAGAGTAGATCAGTTCACTTAAGCCTTTCGTAAACGGCAATATTGCATTCATTTTTTGGGGAAGAGATCTCTATATTGCCCTCTTACCCAAGTCACTGTGTATATCAGTATTCCGTTTATTGATAAAGTATATTCACACACATTATAGTAAATGATTACTTATTATTTAACAAATATGTAACCTCTGTAAAAAAAAAACAAAAAACCCTAAATATGAAAAAAAATAACTGTATAAAATCAAGCAATACATGGCTTGGGGTAAGGCTCTGCTGAGTTTGATATTATGCTGTGTTCTGCTTTATTAAATTGGGTTGCATTACGTTTCCCCGAACTGCTTACAGAAACTAATGCCGAATAAAATTCAATAAACATATAAATAATGTTTCATTTTAGGCTTACGTTTCGTTTTATTTCATTTATGTGTGCCAATTCTACTTCTTTATTTTACTTTATTAAATGTGGATGTAGATGTACTATTGCTTACTCGGATGTGCGTGTTTCATAGTCACTGTCAAAATCGGGGCTAAAATGAAGATTATGATTCTATTTGTAAATCTAGGGACATTGTGTATACAATACAATTAAGCGAGATGTTTGTTATGCCAACATATCTCATATTAACGCGAAATGAGATGCGCATGGGAGGAAAATTAAATTCAGTAACGTGCCTACCGAGACCCATCCCGCTCAGTCGCGCCCATATGCGCCGGAGGATAAGAGCTGACTGTTGGCGCGTATTTGTTTTACAAATGGCTTGTACTTTGTTTTGCTCATTTGTTAAGCAAATAGATTTTTTTTAGAAAGTAATGTTTTTGTGACATATGGTAGCTTTTCCGCAAACCATTAGCCAACATCCAGCTGTAAGATATGGATCTACATCTACAATAATTTTATGCTTAGCATAATCCTTTTTTATTATCGTGATGCGTGGAACAGTATGTGTCGTGCATTTCCATCAACAAATAATCAAATTTCTTTCTATATCTATTTCAAATATGTTGAAAGTAGCAATTCAGAGGGCCGTAAATTAGGTAACGTATTCCCAGACAACATGGCACTGGAATACGGCGTAACGTATCCTACGGTATGGCAATATCAGCAATGGCAATACAGTTGTGTTTTTGCTTTGCTGAAGAGCTGTCTGCTGTTTGCCGGCGGTAATGAGAAGCATTATTCTTTGCTGCGGCATAATGTAAAATATATTTTATTTACATATACTTAACTAAAGAGCGACCTTGATATTGCAGATGATTTCTCAACCAAATAAAAGGTACCTTTTTACCTTTTCTGTTTAACAGCAAGAATGATTGTGTCCCTTTGATGACGTCAGGTAAATGGATATGACAAGTACGGACAGTCGGCCGAGAACAATTTGTATGGCTATGCAGATGGAGGTATATTAATAGGACGGCTTGGGTTAAAGTTTTTATTCGTGGAGACGTGGGCATCGTGGCCGGTCACTGTACTAGGAAGATTGGGACTGTAGATTGTAAGAAGATCACAAGTGTTTCGTTTGCCGTGAAAAAGACCTGACAAGTACAAATATGGATGTGCTGGCAGTGCTGAATCTGAGCGATATTGCCCAGTATTTTTCAAAAATGGCAATGTTTCCAGTTTTTGATCTTGCGTATTACATCGTATCCATACTCTACCTCAAGTATGAACCAGGTCAGTACTCCTCTATTATATATTATTGTATTTTAATGAACGTTTTCAGTGAAACATATATCAACCTTGATTAATTGAGTTCAATAACAGATTTGGTTTCGTTTTGCTTTTTGCGGTAATATCGTAATAAAAACAGTATTTGACTGTTACATAACTGCACGTTACAAATAAAATCCAATGTGAGATGTAGGCCACATTTATTCAAGTAATTCCGCGTGTAATAAGAACAAGTATGTATTATGAATAATCTAGTACTTGACCCATTATCGTTCGCGTGATTTTTATGCACGTGTTGTACATTTCATAATCTCTACAAATGCGGGACAGTGAAAGTGTAGTGTCGAAGCGCAGTTTTGCTTGGGATATAACAATAATGCCATTTTAAATCTGCTACCAAAAGAATGATTCTCTTAAGCGTGCTCTGTGTGAAATCTGATAGAGATATAACGCATGCCAAAGCTAGCTCGAGTTTGCAATAAATAGAATGTCCATAAATAGATAGGCGTGAGTTTGTGACCACAGTTATACAATTTAAAAGGTGCGCACGTACTTCAGGTTTAGACTTTCTTTTCTTGGCGTTTAACCGCTGAATGTACAGGCAAATGACCGCTGGATGTAGCGTTATGATTTCTGGCTTTGCAGATTAGTCTAGACAAGCAATTTCGAGATTAATGCACTAAAAGCTGTTTTTGCAAGTCTGTTTGTACTATAGATAACTGATTAACTCATAATTAAATTACGCTTAGCTATTTTCTATAATCTATATATAATAGTCATCTTGAGTATTAGGGAAGTGTTCTATAGTATTATCAGCATAACTATCGATAGTGCACATCCCTCTGGATTGTTCATTAAAATTACAAAATGATAAATGCTAAAGGGATATTGTTACATTCAAGGAACCTTAAAGTGAATGCAGAATGGTGAGCAATTCATCAAAATTGTAAGGTTCAATGCACCTGTTAGCATCGGTACATTCCTCTGTGCCTAAGCGTTGTGACCAGTACTGTCCCGGTGGCTGTTTTCACTGGCAGAGAGTTCAACGACGTCCGTCTCATACCTCACAATCAGTTTGGAGAGCATCATGAATGAGCGTGTTTAGGGTCAAAGGTTAAAGCTGGCCAGTCGAAAGGCAATGCACCAAAGCTTATTTATAGACTACATTTTACAGGATCAGTTTTCTGCCAAACTGCCAGCTAATCGCTCCTCGACTTTGCTACACCTGTTTCTGGGTGTCTCTTCTGCTTAAGAAGCCAGGCAAGCGATATTCATCTCCTAATTTACCCTTTGAAAATCCCAACAATATATAGTCCTCCCTCTTGACCCTAACAAGAACAAGCTGTTGGATGATGGATGGACAGAGATAGGTCTTCTTATGTTCTTATGTTTCCTTAAATGACTGGCATTTGTTCATCCATCTTTCAGCTGCTTATCCACTACAGGAACATGGCCACTTGCATTTGTAGTCAGGTATTAAAAATTAAAATGAAAATATAACCACAAATTTCTCTGTGGTTTCCAGAAATAAATGTGGTTTCCTTTGTTCAGGAGCCAGAGGCGACATACCTGCATCCCGTGACGTGCGTATTATTTTGCTGTGAGAGTCGGAGGCCACAGACACCAAGTTCTTGGACTGTCATGGGCTGGGGGTGACTTGGGGGGAGGTGTCTTGCATGTGAAAGTTCACCTGAAGCAGCAAATGTTTGACTTAAAGGGTCGGTGGAGGTGTCCCGCAGGAGTCCGGTGGCCTCCTGGCTCTGCGCCATGCTCTACTGCTTCGGCAGTTACATACTAGCAGACATCATGCTTGGAGATTCTCCTGTTGACTATTTCCACAACAACAGTCACATCCTCCTGGCTACTGCTGTCTGGTAAGGTCATGCTAAGGGTTTGCTGTTCTTATGCCTGTATTTGTGGAGAATGGATTAACACCTTTATGTACATTTGTAGGTTTAATATGATTGCTGTGTTTGTATAGTGTCTCACGTGTTGTAATTACATCAGCAGCACTTGTGCCTCAAGGTCTTACATTATCTTTGAATCAGAATTTGAAATTAAAATGAGAAACTGCTTTTTGTGTCGAGATTTCTATGTGCAATTAGATTACAGCTGAAATTACTGTAGCAGTTAGACTGACTCCTTGCCGTTCTTTTCCTGCTGGAAATAAATCAGGTACCTCGTCTTCTTCTGCCCACTGAATTTGTTCTACAAATGCGTGGCCTTCTTGCCAGTCAAACTGGTTCTGGTAGCTATGAAGGAGGTAGTCCGCACACGCAAAATTGCGGCGGGGGTGCACCACGCCCACCACGCCTACCACCACGGCTGGTTTATCATGGTCATCACCGGCTACGTCAAAGGTGAGAAGCGCCGCCATATTGCTGGCACCGTCTTAGCTTAGCATGTAGCAATCTAAGAGAAAATATCAAAGACAACACAACGGCGTGGTGCCTGATTTCATATACTGACCTTTCACCTTCGACTTGTGCTCTTTGAGGGTCTGGGGTGGCTTTAATGTCCAACTTCGAGCAGCTTTTGCGTGGAGTGTGGAGACCTGAGACCAATGAGATCATGAATATGTCATTGTAAGTCTCCTTCTAGTTCTGTTGTGAAGAAATTGTTTTTCAAAAACCACAACCAAGTAATCACGTTCGATATTCGAGCAAGGACAAGAGTAGCCTTTTATACTATTGTAATGTTCTTTGAGGACTTTTAAGGACATGTGTTCCACATCTAAAATGGCTGATATGTGTATCTCATTCCCTGACAGCCCCACAAAAGCCAGCCTGTATGGAGCTATTCTGTTCACCCTTCAGGAGTCCCACTTGCTGCCCATATCCAAGAACATACTCATCTGCCTCTTCACTCTCTTCATGGCCACCTCAAAGGTACTTTGTTACAATCTCACAGTAGGACCTTTAGACCGATTGAGCGTATAAATTTGAGGCTGGTTCCTAGACAGCAGTGCGAGCTCTGATCTTCGCCTGTCATCACGGCCATCACACATGGATGGTGTATCAGGCTGTTCTCCTGTGTTCTAGGTGGTCCTCACTGCCCGCCACTCTCACGGCTCTCCCTTCACCCTGATTGAATCTTGGGTCTGTCACCTGCTCTTTGGCTCCCCCCTCGGAGGCTCTGAGGATTCCCATGACCACCATCACTCTGCCGCTGTCCACGCCGCCCCCGTGTCTCCCACGAAAACCAAGGAGGAGCTTAACGAGGGAACCCGCAAGAGAAAGGCCAAGAAAGCGGAGTAGGCGACACAGTCCCGGGATGAATGGAACCCCTTACTGGCATCAGCAAGGAGAACCGACCGAATCCGACTGCCTTCCTCAGACCAGCCGTGGGCCCTGGATTCCTGTTGCATTTTGGAGGAGAACATGGACTCTCCCATGACATTCTGTGGGAGGGAACAGTTTGGCGTTACTGTGTAAGAAAACGGTACTTTCATAAAATAACATACAGTTTTAAAAACACTGTAAATAGCTCCAAATTTCAGAATTTGGAAATATCAATACCAGCTAATCCATATATTTATGTATGTATGTATTTATTTTCATGAGTGGGTGTTTCTGCTCCTAAATAGAGTGACGTTGCACCCCTGTACATTTCCAGCACACTCTTCAGCTCCATCCTTTAAATGATAAATTATATTATATTAATAAATGTTCCAGATGCAGCTCTTCTTGTTAAAATGTTCCTCTTAGCTTTAATTACCATTAACCCATAGATTGAGATTCTGGACATTTAAAAAAATAATGCTACATAATTTATCGTGAATCAATCCCCTGAAATAAAGCTGAAGAACTCCTTTTCATTGAAGGTTTGCAAAACCCATTTGTTGTGGTTATTTAACTGAGACTGATGCATAGAAGAGGAAAATATCTTCTCTAGGAACATCGTGTGAAACATGTGACACACAGATTAGCCAAATTCAAGTGGAGCTGCACCAGCAGAGATCTTGTCAGCAATGCATGCTGGGAAAGCAGCAGCATCTCTCTCGCCATCTGCTGCCGCGGGGCTTGTTGTTCCAGGACTCGCCCGTCGGTAGGTTGCTCATGGCGGATTTATCGTCAACAGTACTTCACAGGTGATCCTCGATCGAAGGCAGAAAAGAAATTTGCTGCGTTTGACATGGAAGTGAAGATGAATTTGCAGTTCGGTGTGCAAAAATTTGTTGGAGACTCCGTGGGGTGTCGCTGTTTTCCTAACGGAGAAAAGCCAACAGCACCTGTGTAGATCATCAGGATGCTGCCATCAAAATCCCTGAGGTCATCAGAACTTCCTGAGGTCACACTGATATTCTTGGCAAACACTGTCTTACCCCAGAAGAGTTGCAATCCAGTTGCTGCAGATAGTCATTTTCTGCTGGTGTGCTGTAGCTGGGTCACATAGACCTCTCCCAGAATGGGCTGATCAGGCCTCACTTGGCAATGGTGCAGAAGCAGGTCATACAGGAAAAAGTACGAGAAGAGGACCTTGGTTTGTTTTCCTATTATTTTTTTCATTTCATATCTTGAACCCATGCAAGATGACCCCAGCTCACAAGGTTTTCCTTCTTATTTGCATTTACACATCATTAAATCCATGATGAATGAAGGTATGCACTGGTTTTTTCTGTGTTACTCTTACAGACCTCGTTTCCGCATATAGAGCCCCAGCAGGCTGCCCAGTAGATTCTCTGCGAATAATCTAATATCATATTTATGATATTTCAGTATATATCATCGCGACCTTTTACTGCATAAGCAATCATGGTAGAGAACAGCCAGATGGAAGGATGGATGCATTTCATAATTCATACAAATTTAGTACATATTTCAAAAACTTCCTAAAACATCAGGAGTAGTAGCAGTAGGGTATGAGAACAATGTTAACAGTTTGCCAAAGCGATCCCCCTTCTGGGAGGCTCTGGACACAGATCCCCCTTCTGGGAGGCTCTCGGCACCGATCCCCCTTCTGGGAGGCTCTCGGCACAGATCCCCCTTCTGGGAGGCTCTGGGCACCGATCCACCTTCTGGGAGGCTCTGGACACAGATCCCCCTTCTGGGAGGCTCTGGACACAGATCCCCCTTCTGGGAGGCTCTGGACACAGATCCCCCTTCTGGGAGGCTCTCGGCACAGATCCCCCCTGATAATGCTCTGTATTATATTGCAAGGCTTCCCCCAGGAACACTGGTTTCCTTCTGCAATCCAAAGCTGACCGGTGTCTCTAAATTGCCCATGAAGTGTGTGTCTGCGCCTCACGATGGACTGGTGCTCTGACCAGGCTGTTCCCCAAACTGGTGCCTTGTGCTACCTGGGACAGGCTCCAGCCCCCCCCCCCCAAGACCCTGACCAGGATAAACGGTCAGCAGATGGCTGGTAATATTAACTTACAGCTCATAAATGTAACCAGCCGTGATTTATTTTTTCTTCTTTCTGTCACTCAGTTATACATTAGCTGCTCGTCCCGAGACCATAAGATACCTTCTTCATCTACAGGGTAGGCAAACTAACTCTAACTAACTGTACATTAAATAAAGATAGTATTTCCTTATTATATTATATCATTATATAATAAAAGTGTAAGTACGGGTTACATTGCTCATGCAGTCGTTGAGGTTGTTAGTGAAAAGCAGCTTGGTGTAGCGTAACACGCCACGTTACACTCCGAGACGAACGGCCTCCGCGGCACGCCACGTTACACTCCGAGACGAACGGCCTCCGCGGCACGCCACGTTACATGATGCTCTGGTAGCTGGCTCAGAGTGTGGTACATGCCGACCATATCACATGTACCATTGGATTATAGGTAAAAACAAACCAAAATTTATATGACTAATTAAACACACAAACAAGGCAGCAGCCTCTTGCATGATAAGGAGATAACCCCAGTTTCATTTTTATTCATTTGTAAAAACAAAGTCTAACTCAATCTGGCACGTGCCCCCCTCCCCCCCTCGGCAGCCTGGAAGTTCAGCCACAGCTTCACCAAGCAATCAATCTGACGCATTCCTTCCAGTCAAAGCAGCCTTGACGGCTGCAGAGGTTCTGCTGAAAGAGGCAGATTAACAGCTTGTAAAATCCATGCTGAGTTCAAGCAGTGTGCAACAAACTCAATTAGCATTACAGTTGCAACAGGAATAAAAATCCAGATCCAACTCACTGTGGGAAAAAACGAAAATTATTCTCTGGCCGCTATATAAAGTGATTAATGTAGGTCTTATTTATTTCTTTTGAGAAACATCTACCATTCAGAAACTTTAAGTAGCAAGACTAGAATAGAATGGAAGGCTGCGAGGGAGACGTAACTCTCTACATGAAGCTGTGTCTGCCTCCATCCATCCATCCATCTATCCATCCATCCATCCACTTACCCAGAAGAGGGTCCCTGGCAGTGGCTGTGCCAGGCAGGATGCCTACTGGTGCATCTCTGTAGAATATACCACCTGAAATGTTCTTTTCCTCTAACAGCAGAAACTAAAGAAAAAAGATTTTTTTCCAAGAAGTAACCTGGTAATATTATTTGTTTTATTTCCTGCATCTTCAGTGCGTTACAAGGAAAATATTTCAAAAGAGGGATTTTTTTTGTTGTTTGATTTTCCAGTGAAGTATCAGTAAGCTGAGAGGGGGGTGCGTGAAGCTGAATTAGGTGAAGGGAAGTCAGGATGTACCTTTCGGAATCTCGTGGGGGCAGGAGCTGGAATTTTACCAGCATCTGGAGAATCAATCACTGGCAGAGGAGGAGAGCAGCACAAACTGGAGTCCAACTGCGCAGTGGACACCGAGCACCTTTTCCTATGGCGTCCTTTGAAGTGTCCCAATATAGAGTCTTCACACGGCACACAGAGGTGCTCTGTGACAGTGACAACGCGTAATGGGGCAACATCGGCACTATGTGGAACCGTCAAATGAAAACACAGAGATGTGACACAGAGCTAATGAGCAGCCACTCCGTACATGGCTGCTTTAATCGGCCAGGGAGTCCGCACAAATGTCCTGGGTATAAAAACACACACACACACACACACACACACACACACACAGCATGCAGAAATGTTTAAGGCTATTTGTCTGGGTAGTAAGTGCATTTTAGCTCAGAACAAAAAACACAGCTTAGTCTTATAACACATGCAAATTAAAAGTGACACAATAAAAACTAGCAAAAACTGTTCCCAGAAAGTTGCTGATACCTTGGTGGATGGCTGGATGGACCCCGCTTCAGGTCCCAAACCTCTCCTCAGGGGCCCCCCAGCCATTCCATGATTTATTAAACTTCACCACCAGCTCACTTTAATTTAACAAAGTCAGAGGTATTGATTAGCATTACAAGATGTGCTAGTGGTCAAGTTAAAAAATAGATGAGTGTGTGGATGGTTGCTGTAAATAAGGGAGTCATTTTAGCATTAGTTTGGAAATGGCTACGCTGACAGACTTTGACATTCATAATAGCATAGTTTTACACCAGCATGAAGATCATCATTTTTTGGCTGCCTAAGACTTTTGCACAGTACTGTATGTATAAATAGTCAGTTTAATTATGGAAAGGACACACATTTATGGGTGCTGTCATGTTTCACACTTTTCATTGATTAATTAAATTTTAAAACAGTAATTAAACTGCATAACAGATTTATCTTGACTTCTTTAAGGTATTTTAATTGCACCAATTTAGGCCATTTTCATGGTTCCCAGTGTCAAGCTGCAGTTTAGTTATAGCTATGACGAGGAAAGGCTTGATTTTACATATCTGAGTGTGACTCGCGTGAGACCCTCAGCAGGGCAGGCGTCTCTGAGGTCGGTCAGCCTGAGAGGTATAAAAGCCGCCCACATAGATGCACTTCTCAGGAAAACTGCTGGCCAGGAAGCCGCCTTAGCCTCCCTTCTCTTTGCAGGACAGGAGAAAACAGGCAGCAAAACATGCAGAGATTTTTGTTCGTCCTTTTTGCTTTAAACTGGAGCTGCTTGATTGTGTCTGGACAAGACAGAGGTAAAGGCAAATTCCTTCCTGTTATTCTAGTGAAGAATGTAAATTCAATTGGCATGTGACTCCTTTACTAATGCAAACTTTGATTTGTAGCAATAACTGATGTATGGGTAAATGTTGGCAAAATTACTATTGCAGTTAAAATTAGAGGTAAATCTACGAAAGTTTAATCTAAGATTTTTTTCCTGAAGTGCAATAGGAGTAATTTGCATGCATTACACATTGGCCATAATGACTCTACAATTTAAGTTCAGGGTATTTCAAGGCCTGAATCTGTAATTTAAGTAGAGACTTGTGAACTGTAATAGAAACATCCATGGAATACGATGGCGAGTTAAACAGCTCGAATTTAACTACAGACTCAAAGAATTATTTGGCTTCCCTTTTAAATAAATATCTCTCCTATTTCATTTCTCTTTTATAACAGTTGTTAGCAATCAATGGATGTAAGTAATTTGACTAAATATTTCAGCGCCACCCGCGGTGCTGTGTAGCGCGGCACTGCATTGTAAGCTGATGAGCACATGAGGGGCCCTTTGCTGTGGGAAGCTCAGTAATGGAAAAACCAGCCGCCTCTGCATCCAACCCAGGGGACGTCGACAGCCCAGCGCACTGCAGGGTGCTGTCGCTCTGATAAACAGCCTCTGGCTTCCTCCACAACAGCCCGCTGCCTTCACAAACAGGCTCTCCAGCTCACCTTCTGTCTTACCAAATGGTCCCTCCGGCTCCACCCACCCCCGTTTAGAAATGGGCCCTCCGGCTCCACCCACCCCCATTTAGAAATGGGCCCTCCGGCTCCACTCACCGTGCTTACGAAAGGTCCCCTGGCTCGACTTGTCACATTGCCCTCCAGCTCGAACTGTCACTTAGCAAACAGGCTCGACCCTCCACGTTAACGAGCAGACACTTTGAGTCCATTGTATTAATGAACAGCCCTCTGGCTCAGCTTGTTGCTTTAAACAACTCTCTGGCTCGACTTGTCACATTAAACTGCCCTCCTACTTGATTGGTTGCAGTAAACAACCTTCTCCCTTAACTTATCGCATTAAATGACCCACCAGCTTGACTCGTTGCACTAAACGACCCTCTGGCTTGACATATCGCATTAAACGACCCTCTGGCTTGACATATCGCATTAAATGACACTCTGGCTTGACATATCGCATTAAA